CAAGCCCCGGCCTGGAACTGCCTCTGCTGTCCTTGCAGATCTCCCAGCAAAGTCCAAGTTTACAAAGATGGTGTTTCCCCACAGACCTCTGGGAACTGTAGTCGGTACCTGCAGTGGTAGCAGACAGGGAGGCTGCAGTGGTAGCAGACAGGAAGGCTGGGTTGCAGATCTCCCAGCAAAGTTCAAGTTTACAAAGATGGCGTTTCCCCACAGACCTCTGGGAACTGTAGTCCGGTAAATACCTTTTAAGAACACAAATTCTGTACACATGAACCTCACCTGACAGATCAACCATGGAAGCCAAAGATGAAGAAATTGAGACTTTCTACCAATTTCTGCAGTCTGAAATTGATCAAGTATGCAATCAAGATTCATTGGTAATAACTGGTAACTGGAATGAAAAAGTTGGAAACAAGAATGACAGAAAAATATGGTTTTGGAGATAGAAATGAGGCACTTATAACAGAAGATCAAAGACTACAGCCTTCAATATGATCTCAACATGAAGAAAACAAAAATCCTCGCCACCAGAGCTATAGGCAATATAGTGATAGATGTGGGGTGGGGGGGGGAATGGAAATGTCAATGATTTTGTCTTATTTGGATCCACAATCAATATCATTCCTTGGTTGCAGCGATCAAGAAATCAAGAAATACGTTGCACTCAGAAAAACTGTTGTCAAGGATCTTTCCAAAGTGCTAAAGAACAATGATACCAGTTTAAAAACGAAAGTGAACATGATCCAATCTATGGGGTTTTTCAAGTACTTGCTATGAAGCTGAAAGTTGGATAATAAATAAGGATGACAGAAGAAGATTCAATGCCTTTGAGTTGAGGTTCTGGAAAAGAGTACTGAATATCCTATGGACTATTTGTCAAAAGAGCAAACAAATATGCTTTGGAGAAATTGCAGCCAGGGTGCTCCTTACAGGCAAAGAGGCAAACTTTGCCTTACATACATTGGCCATGTTAGGAAGGGTCAGTGCTTGGAGAAAAAAAGACATGATCCTAGGAAAGGTCGTGGATCAGTGAAAGGGAGGAAGACAGGAAGACCCTACATGAGATAGAATGACACAGTGATTATAACAATGGGCTTGAGTACATCAGAGATGGTGAAGATAGAACTGGATAGGACAGAATTCATATCTGTTGCTCATAGAATTGAGCCACTGTTGCCTTTATGTCACCTGACAATAACAATAACAACAATGTGAGTTAGAGTCATCTTGAAGTTACCTAGCAACATTTTTACTCATAATTAAGTTCTTCATCATTTGTTTCTTAAATACAAAGTATCTCAATCTCAGCATTCTTTGTATAGATTTTAAAGAATGCATGAGTGTTCGCATTTGCATGCGCTTCCCACCACCGTCATTGTGCCTTCCTTAATGTATGCTGAGCACAAGACCAAGCAATTTATTGGAGACTTAATGTTGGAAAGTGTTGGACAGCCATGGTCTAGTCATAAAGGAGGATCATTCAGGGGGTTAAAGGAAGTTAATCTCTCTTTTGAAATTGTTGTTGTTGTTAAGTGCCATCGAGTTGCAGGTGACTCATAGCGACCCTATGAAGGAGAGTCCTCGACACTCTTTAGCATTTAGGAAAGTTAATCCTTAGTGTGAAGTGGAATTGCATCCTTTATGTGGAACTCTGTACCTTTCTTTGTTTTATATGTTCTCTTCTTTTCCAGAAATTGACATTCTCAGTGATAGCTGTTGCCGGCAACTTTCTTTTCAACACCATGGCTTCAAAACATGTAAAATTCATGAAAGCCCGCTGTATGACGACCTCCAGAATAATTATGGTTTCTACACCATGGCCCCCCCAGCCCTGGGACGTCAAATAGTCTTCAAAAAAACTCTAAGGCCTGGAGTAGAGCTATCGGTCTGGAAGGATGACCTCACCACACATGCTGTTGATGCTGTTGTAAATGCAGCGAATGGAGACCTTCAACACGGGGGAGGCCTGGCCCGGGCCCTAGTAAGTGCTGGTGGCTATGAAATCCAGGAGGAGAGCAGAAGCTTTGTTGCCAGATATGGTAGAGTACCAACTGGTGAGATTGCTGTCACAGGAGCAGGCAGGCTTCCCTGCAAACTCATCATCCATGCAGTTGGGCCTCGGTGGACAAAGAGAGATAAAGAGAGATGCATTGAACAGTTGAAAAGGGTCATTAGAAACATTCTAGATTACGTCCTCTATGAAAATCTGGACATTCAGTCGGTTGCAATTCCAGCCATAAGTTCTGGGATCTTCCAGTTTCCTCTGGATTTGTGTACATGCATCATTGTGGAGACTATCAAGGCTTATAACTATTATAAATTAGTGGTGAATCAATTAAAAGAAATTCACCTGGTGAGCAATGAAAACGCTACAACTGATTCCTTTAAGAGGGCATCTGAACTCATCCTAGGAAGGAACGAGCTGGACTCCTGGGTGAGTCAAGAAGCCCCACCCTTTCTTTAGGATCTCATGTTGGTATAGCAAAGATCTCCTAGAAATAATTCTAGTTACTGCATGAACTAATTTATAAACATATTTACCTACGCATGCTGGGAAAAATAAGTCTAGGTAATGGGATAATATTTGCTACTAAATTCTACTTAGTTTTTATTTTTACCTGACTAATTTGGCCTAACTCTCTATGATGGTGCTCTTGTTTTCTTGAGGATCTGTGTGGATTGTTTCATTGTTTAAGCCTCTTGTTTACAGTCAACAAGACCTTCAGGAGGACACTTGCATTTAAGGCCAAGCCCTTGTCTCCATTTTGGAAACTGGGTGAAGTGACGACTCTGTAAGATGAGCTCTCTTGTCTTAGTTGAGGGTCATTGTGGAGTTTTCCCCCCCTTCCCCTCCCTTATCTCTTTTTTTTATTATTAAAGCCTCTTTTTTAGAGTCAACAAAACCTCATGGAGGGCCCTTGTATTTAAAAGTTGAGCATGAGGGATTATATTTTAATCCCTTGTTACTATATTTTGGAGGAACATTCTTTTAAGTCATAGTTCACTCTTCTGTCAGTTTGCTGTGCTGAGGTAATCTATGTTTGTTGTGATGCTTAACCTTATACCATTGGGGTCTCAAATGTCCTTGGCTGTCTATGGTGGAAAGTATTTGGTGGAGCTCCCAGTTTCAAGACAGGTTAGGAAGCAGGCGTAGCATGCACTTCCTAAACCACATGCCTCTGGAAACTCTATGAACTTGGAGAAACAATAGTTATAGAAAGGCCTCAGGTCTTTTGTTCATGGAGTTGCTATGAGTCCTGTTTGACTTGATGGCAATTAACAATAACAATATGACTCGCACGCATATAACAACAACAACAATGTAAAAATAGCTAAGAACTTGATTTTTGCCAAAATATAGACTGAGGCAAAATTATTATTAGCAAGCATTTTATGATACATAAACTGAACAATGCAGATGAAGTTTTATAATTCTACTCATTATGAAATGCTCAACTTCATCACTCATGTGACCAAAACATCTCTCCTTTTCAAAGGAATCTTCAATTGATGAGTATTTTTAGTGATTTCATGAAGGAGATCTTGGTAGATCTTCCTCCCCTCTACAGACACATATTTGATAGTCTTCACTACTTCAGAAGAAGACTAGCATAACTACCAAGTCTAGGAGAGGACTACTTTGACTACAAAAGTAATACATAACTCCTGTAAATCTAGTATAACAAGATGAGTTTTTGTGATCCTAATATCATTTTACAGAATTTTTTCTTTGTGGCTCTTTAGTTAATTGTTGGCTAAAAAAGCTTTTAAAAGGAGCTTTTGCAAAACCTAACCTCCCTCAAGGAGGTCTCCAACCTACTCTCTTGGGTACAATATTAGTTATACTCAAGAAGTAAAGTAAATCAGCACTGATATTTATGGATAAAACTACTAGGATCCATTAAATCACAATTCTTTAACTACAAAGTTTCTCAAGCAAGAGAGAATCTATCAAGAATCACGGTTCCTAAGTGATGTCAGACTTTTGGTGTTTCAAAGAATTAGACTCAATGTTTAACAGATCATTGTTGTCAGTAACTGATTTTCTTTCTATTTTCAGTTACCTTTCAACGAATTCACCAGAGAGTTAAATGGAAGTCCCAAGTATGCAACTTTGATGACTGGCAAAACCCAAGGTCTGGTAAAGTTGTTTGGCTATCACTCTTCTGTGGTACTTGAAATCCAGTAAAGGAAGCAAAGCCAATTCACATGAAGTATAAATCAGTGATGGCAGAGCTTGGAGCATGCTATATTTACTGGGGACAAAGGAAACAACTATATTTATGTTAAGTAAACTACTGGCAATGAGACCAAATGTTCTAACAAAGGATAAAATAAAGTGTGAATGCTTCAAAATACTTCCTATACATTTAACTTTGTAGAATTTAACTTGCCGAGTGGTCTCATGGGCAGGTGGTTCCACTGCTTCTCAATAAATGTGGAAAAGTTTAATTAAGTTGAAGTGACAGATGTAAATTGTAAAGCTTGAATGTAAAGTAGAGAATAATATCCAGATATGATTAAAGTAATTTCTCTGAGTGGCCCTTACTACAGCTACTGGGAACTTAGATAGCCTTATGGAAAAGCAGTCATACTGACAACCCAAAAGCCAGCTGTTCGAATCCATCAGTAGCTCCAAGGGAACCTTTTCCTGTGATATTTACAGACACTGAAAACCTGCTTGAGGGTCACCTGTGAGTTGGTTCCAACTCAGTGGCATAAAGTTTTGGGAGGGGGGTGGTGTGTGTGTGTGTGTGTGTGTGTGTGTGTGTTTAGTGTGAAGTGACAAAAAAATTCAGTTTTTGAGTTTGAAGGCTGTTGTTTAATATGAGATGAATGACTCAACCACTCTAAACCCATGTCCCTTTACGTAAATGCCATAAAATAATCTCTGAGAGAGGTCAGCCTTTTATAAGATCACGCCCTGAAAGGACTTTGATTAAAAAAGTTATTAATCTGTTCAGGTGTGTCTGCCTCATCCTTTTAACTGAGAGAATATAATTGCTCTTACTTTCACAATGTACTATTTTCTTTTTTGGTGTATGTTTGTGTATTTAGAGTTTTCCCCACTTTATTATTTAAGTGAAATTTACAAAGGTTGATTTTCATTCAATTATTCATGTGCATTATTTTATGAAATATGGTATTGATTATAATATAATCAATCACCACATCTCATCAAACCCTGATTGTATATTGCTTTCCACTTCACCCAACTTACCTTTGTATTCATTTTTAATCCCTGAGCCATTGGAATGGGGAGTCAATGGTAGGAGCTGGGAGATATTGATACACTGAAGTAACCACAACTAATGCCAGGAAGCAGTCTTCAAATAAACTAGTGAGTGGGAGACAGATGTTCTTTGTATACTTTCAACCAAATAATATTTAAAACATTTTTTTAAAGTAGAGGAGAAGAAAACCAGTAGTAAAACAGCACAGAATATGAAGCAATGCTTGGATTCTATCACCAGGAAGAAAAGAAGCATGGGAAAGGGAATAGAGTCCTTCCATTTCTCTTTCCATAAGGAGTCAGCCTATTTTTGAAAACCTTGTTCTCTTTCTTTGCAGGACTATCTTTTGGGATTGTCTCTAGCCCTCAGTACGCAGCACATGAAATGCAAATTGGTGCAATTACTTTCCAGGTTGCTATTGGCGATATCACCAAAGAGAGGGCTGATGTGATTGTCAATTCAACAACAAAGACATTCAATGGGAAGTCAGGTATGTTCTTTAAGATATCTTATTTGGCTGTTAATAGCAAGATAACTAAAGGATAGAAAGAAAACTGTGGCTAACATTTCTCTGAGTAGACAGAGAACGGTGTAGGATATACATGGGTTCTGGAATCAGAAAGACCTGGATTTGAATCCCACTTATGCCTCTTACATTGTGTCAGAACAAGCCAAAACAAACAAAAGAACTCAAGCTCATTGCTATCAAGCCAGAACCAACTCACTGCTGATCCTCCAGGTTTTCAGAGTCTGTAAAGCACACAGAAGGAACAGCTCGTGGATTTGAACTGCCTGCCTTTGAGTAGACAATACAACAGTTTATGCACAAGGCCGTCAGCCCTGGCCAAATCACTTAACCTTCATAGTTCTAGTTTCCTTCTCTGTCAGATACTTACTTTCTCAAGTAAAATTAAATGAGACAAAACTGTGTAAAGGTCCTAGAAGACACTTTGATATCAGCTCTCATTGCCTGTATCATACTGAAATATCAAAATATATTAATAGCAATTTAATAAATGTTAAGTTCTTCTATTCATATACCTTTTTATATTTTTTGTTTTTTTAAATTTTCTATTGGTGTGCATATAAAATTCATGTACACTGTGTTTTATTCATGTACATTGTGTTTCACACATTCCTTCATTTACATTGTGTTTCCTATAATCATTCATAAACATTCTATTTTCTAAAATTAATTAGCATTGATCTATTCCCATCATTACTTGTCTTTTCAGGTCCCTATTGAATCTTTCCTAATTCCTTCATCCCCTCCCTCCACCCGCCAAACTCTGTTGCCCTAGTGATTCTCTGGCCCTCTCTCCACCTACCCCCTTCACTGCCTCCCCTTCCTATTTTGAGTATTTTTCCACATCTTATCCTTTTATTTTCACAATAATGGCTGTATGTATTTGTCCTTATGAACTGAGTCAGTTCGTTCAGCATAATGCTCAGATTCTCCCGTGTTACATAGTGTCTTAAAAATCATTGCTCCTTAGTGATGCATAGAACTTTTTTGAAAAAGAAAGGTTAAGTGTAATTTTGCTTTCTTAGTCTCTTTCCCCCACAAATTAAAAAAAAAATTATAAAGCAGGCATAATATGTTTCAATTAAATAACTTAAGTCATTGGGATTTAATGTTCTAATGGTAGATGTAATCAATTTAATTTAAAGGAAAGTTAGAATTTTCTTTTAAAGTTAATGCTATTCACAAGATGAAACTCAACTGGTAGCATTCAAAAGTTAAACCATGAAACCATTAAAACTATAAGCTGTAGTGATATGAATAAAAGGCTAGAGTATGCAGTTTTATAGAAGATTTATATTATATTCTTCTTGAGTGAGAGGATCTAGCTTAATTTCAAGCCTGAACATTTAAAAAGGAACTCAGTTGGTGCATACATCTTGACCCCTCTATCTGTTCACTTTTCTGCATATATCTGTTCATTTAGTACTTTCCCCTCCATGTGGTGAAAATGATTGGTTGCTCCACTACTAACCAAAAGGTTGTCACATCGCATTCACCCAGAGGTGCCTTTTAAAACAGGTTAGGTGATGTGTTTTGAGATTCTGAGAGGTGTTGTTGTTGTTATGTGCTGTCGAGTCATTTGCGACTCATAGCGACCTTATGTACAACAGCCCTAAACCCTGCTCTGTCGTGTGTCAATCGCATTGCCTCTGACACACCCATGCCAATTACCCCCGTCACTGAATCAATCCACCTCATAGAGGGTCTTCCCCTCCCTGCGCCGTCCCTCCACCCTCCCAAGCATGATGTCCCTCTCCAAGGACCAGTCTCTCCTTACAACATGTCCAAAGTATGTCAGAAGAAAGCCCCAGAGGGGACAGCCTTGAAAACCTATGGTGCTGCTGCACTCTGTGCAAAATGGTTGCCATGAGCCCTAACTGACTCTACAGCAACTAACAACACATATACAATACTCAAGTAACACACACCTGCACCCCCACACTGAGAATGTGTGCATACATATGTTTCTATCTATATATTTAGATCTGTTGATGCTGTTATTGTGTACTGTCAATTCTGAAGCAACTCATAGCTGACTCTATAGTGGACTTTCAAAGGCAATAAAATTGCATGGGAGGAGATTGCCTATCTTTATCCAGTGAAGCAACTGGTGTATTGGCAGGCCAGTATTTTACCACTAAACCACTATTATAGTCAACATGCATAGTAACAGCAGTCAAGAAATCAAAAGGCATGTTGCATTGGGGGAAATCTACTTTCAATAACCTCTCCAAAGTACTGAAGAGAAAAGATTAAGGTCTGTTTAAAGACTATGTTGCACCTGATCCAATTCAGGGTGTTTTTGATTACTTGCTATGCATGGAAATTTGGACAGTGAATAAGGATAGCAGAAGAAGAATCAATGTCTTTGAGTTTTGGTGTGGGAGAAGAGGACTGAATATTCCCTGGACTGTCAAAAGAATAAATAAATCCATCTTGGAGGAAGTGCAACCAGAGTGTTCCTGAGAGGTCAAGAGTGGTGCAGCTTCAACTCACATACTTTGGGCATGTTGTCAGGAGCAGATCCTGGTGGAAAAGGCAGAGGATCAATGAAACAGAGGAAGAACCTTCACAAGATGTAGACACAGTGACTCTAACAATGGGCTCTATTCTTCAGGATTGCAAGAATGGTGCAAGACAGGGCTAGATTCAGAGCTCTTGTGCATAGGGTCACTCTGAGTCGTAAGTAATTTGATGGCACATCACAACAACCTTTCCAAAGGAAAGGTGGAGGGTTGCAAAAGAGAACAAGACCTTTAACCAGATGAATTAGCAAAGTGACTGCAGCCATGGGCTCAGTGTATCAGAAGTTACGAGGATAGCACAGACTAGGATAGGGTGCAGAGGTGTTGTCCGCAGGACTGCCACGAGTCATACTTGACTCGACAGCACCTAACAATAACAACATCTATCTCATGGCTTAACTCTCTGGAGTTTTCAAAAGCTGTACCTCTCTGACAGTTCGAGTCTACAAGTGGCTCCACAGTGCTTCCTCTGGTGTGATATACAGCTATGGAAGTTCAAGCAAATATCAGCTATGAGTCAGTTCCATTTCGATGAATGATAGTCAGGAAACTAGCATTTATTTCTGCACTAAGCACTTTTCATATATTATCTCCCTGTGACAGAGGTACAACCAGACTGTATGATAGATAAACCAATAAATCACATGAGTCAGAACTGACTCTCTCTAGCAATTAACACCAAAAATACCATATAGCTCTATATCTGTTTTTGATGAATAAATAATTAAAATTCATTTATGTCCTTGTGTTGGAGGTCGTACAACAGTCTCTGCGTGACAGATGAACTGATTAGCCACATGTCACATGTTAGCTAGTAAGTTGTGAACTCAGCACGACAAACCTATCTATCAGTCAAAATGCAGGGTCCATGATTTGAACCATCCAACCCAGCTGTCTTAGATGTGAACCAAGGAGAAATCTTGACCCTTGATTGGGAGTGTCATTGAACTGAAGCCAGCCAACTAGCTGTTTGTGTAAGGAAAATGAAAATGAAACAGAATTGAAGAACTTAAGCAAAACACTCCATTTGATTATGATTTGGGGTCCATGCAGTTTTTGTTGTTGTTGTTATGTGCCGTCGAGTCGTTTGCGACTCATAACGACCCTATGTACAACAGCCCTAAACTCTGCTCTGTCTTGTGCCAATCGCACCGTCTCTGACACCCCCATCCCGATTATCCCAGTCACTGAATTAATCCACCTCATAGAGGACCTTCCCCTCCTGCGTCGTCCCTCCACCCTCCCAAGCATGATGTCCCTCTCCAAGGACCGGTCTCTCCTCACAACATGTCCAAAGAATGTTAGACGGAGCCTCAGAATCCTTGCCTCCAAGGAGCCA